ACACAAGCACTTCCAGCAGAACAGTAGGTGGAAAATACAGTGCAAATTCCTTAAACTCAGTTTAAGGACAGCAATGATAACCTCACAATACATCATAATGATGTTAAGGACTCCCACTCTGGTCTTGGGGTGCCAGCCTGGTTCCACATCTGTGGACAGATTTCACTCTTACCATCAACACCGTGGAGGCTGAAGATACTAGAGCATCTTCCTGTCAGCAGGATGATGTGTTTCTTCTCACAGTAACGCAGACCTGAACACAACTTCTCCGTGACACCCCTTGTGTTTTCCTTATGGCTGCAGCTACTGGTATAAGAAGTATTATATGAGTGGGTGTTTTTGGTATTTTTGATTTTCATTTATTTTCCCTCAGTTTTGGTTACGATTCACTCATGTACTATCTCATTGTATGCATATATTTATTGTCTTGTATGCATTTTATTTATTCATTCTAGTGTTGATTAGTACTTAGGCTGGTCCCAGTTTGGAACTATCACATTATTGTACATTTGGTTCTTTGCACATTTGTACATGCTTCTGAGTAAAAAGACTGGGTCACAGGGGATACATATGTTCAGGGTCAGTTCTCCAATTTGTGTACCATTTCATATTCCCAAACACAATGCATGAGAATTCTAGTTGCTCCATCCTTTTGCTGTATTTTGGTCTTGTCACTTTTTTCTTAGTTTTAAGTATTCTGAGTGTTTAATGGTATTTTGTTGTGATTTTCATTTATAGGTTTTTAAAATTGAAACATATTATACATATTTGTGGTGTACAGAGTATACAATGTGTGATGAACAAATCAGGGTAATTAGCATATTCTGTGATGATTATTGATATTGAACACCTTTCATATACCTGCTGGCCATTTGTATATATAATTGACCAAGCATCATTTCCTGATAAGAGGTCTTTTCCGCCCTCCTCTGCATGTCACCATCTATTAAAAAGTAACAATCTATGTGTTAGTCTGACTCTGACTATCCTTTTCTGGTCCATTAGACAATTCGGCTAAACTCACACCAGCACCACAATCCTGACATCCAGTACTGTAATATCTCAATCTGGTTCTTTTTCAGGATTGCTGTGGTTTTTCTAGGTTCTTGACATTCCTGTATAAATTTTCGAATCAGTTTGTAGGTTTCCATTTATAAAAATCCTGTAAGAATTTTGATTTTGGTTGTGTTGAAATGATATACCAATTTGTGATGAATTAACATACTCTCAATACTGAGACTTTTAATTCTTAAACTTAATACAGCCTTTCATTTACTTATGTT